CATTCCCGTGCCAATCCCGCGACGCCATTCACGGGAAAAGAAAAGGAAGACTCGAATTGTCCCCTCGGCGCGTACGCGACCTCTTCGAGCAGAGCACGTCGCAAGACCTCTTTAGAGCGGCGAAAGCAATTGAAATAGACGACTGTTGCATAATGATGTATCAATAAATAGTGCGATCGTTCAATGACGCACTATTTGCATAGTGCGAATAATTAATTATCGAGGAAGCCGTATACAATTCGGTGACCTAATGTCAAATAACGATTATGAAATCAATGGAATCCTAGCGTGTGCTGAAATTTTCAAAGTTTTTACAAGCGGAAAAATATAATTCCCGTTAATTATCGAAAGATAATTAAATTATTAAAAATTATTAGTAGGCAATATTGCAAATAAGTGTAAAAGAGATATTATTTCAGCACATTTTTTAAAAATATTTTTTATATTTTTTTACGGCTAAACTAAAATTATATTTTAATAAAATCTTGCTGTACGAAAATAAAACGCTTGAAAGCGAAAACGCTATTAATTTATTACGATTTGCTTCGTTTATCTTTAATTAGCTCATATTTAATTTAATCGTAGTTTTTTTCATACATTTTGATATCTTCTTGACGGTTTTTATTGACAAATAAAGATTAAAGATCTTCTGTAACAGCAAAATAATTGGATTGAATGCTGTTTCCAATAATCCGAGATAGAAAGGAAGATAGAGAATAATTCTTGCTTACTTATCATTAAAGTGACATTAACATACGTCAAAAATATATTAATAGAATTATCTTGCGAGAGTAAAGAAACCGATAATATATTCGTGGATTCTACGTTAAAAACGATTTCTCAACCATTAATCTGGAATAAACATAAAATATAATCGTCCCGTATTTGATAATCGTGCATGTCAAAAGATATATATGTTTCGATATTAATTTATCCGATCTAACGATTAAAACGTAAGAAAAATGTAGAAAGTTAGAAATTTTAACTTGACTTGTAGAGATACATATAAAATAGAAAAATTACAAAAAAAACAAAGAAATCTTTTTGCACGGTCTTTTTATGTGATAAATGATCACTTCAAACGGTATTAAACATCTTAAAAAAGAAGAGATAGTTCTTGAGAAATTTGTTTTTGATAAAACAAAGTAATTGTAGGTGTACTTTCGGAAAATTTTAATAATTCTTTTTCAATTTTCAGAATAATTGGCGATATTTTCAAGCAATTTCTAACCCTGCAGATTGCTAAGAACGATTAGCAGTTCAGATATTCGCGTCGATGTGATTAAGGGGCCTAAACAGGAAGCCCGTATCTCAAGGTTACCACTCGATATATCATTTTCGCGTAGCACCGGGGCAACACGTTGCAGTGCGATAAATATGAAGGCAAGCAGCGCGAGATGTAGTCAGCGATTAGCCCCGCGTTCCAATATAGATTAGAAAAGATAGAAACCATGAGAGTCGGGTATATCTTTTGCGAACGTTCTTTGCATGTTTGATCGTAAATTTACTTGTTTTCTTGCCGTTTCTACAATCGACAACAAAATTCAAGGAGACCTACCCGCGAAAGCAATCGCCCTCGTAACATACGAATCCGCGCAATTAAAACCGGCGTGACGGCCGCTGATAATTAATTATATGTTTACCAATGACGTCAAACGCAAGGAAATCTGTCAAATTTTTAACGTAGTAAATGTTAGTTCTCGTAAAAGTATGTGTACAAGCAGAAACTGGACTCAAGGAAAAGTTTAAATCACAGAAAGACAGATCATGACTTTTTCAATTAATTTTAAAAAAATAAAAGTGTTTAAAGAGCTAATTGACCCTTCGATGCCACTCTCAGTATGGCATACAGTTTCTTTTCGAATTTTCTTTTACTTTATATTATACTATTTTTTTATTAATGAAAATACATTTGCTTCTTATATTCTTTAATGGTTTCAATTGAAAACAAAAATTTGTTATATGTTTATTTTTACACTATTGTGTTGCATGCGTGATAAAATATAGTATGACACCGAAAGGTATAAACATCATATATAATAATATATAATTTTCATAATTTTGACAGAGATTCGATTTTGCAACAAGCTCGAATATATCGATACGTTATGTAATCCTCCACGAAATGCGTCAAGCAATATTTTATGCGTACACGTGCCTTCACCATAGTGCGCACGGTTAGATGCAAATTAAATTCGCGCCATCCTGTTGATCGCCTCTCAAACGCATTAATTAACGCGCTTGTTCGGAGGAAGTTAGACGAGCTCGCGAACTTGATTATCACTTTATATCCTTTCGTTTAAGCGAATTACCGGATGCCAAGGATTTCAATACGCGAATGTAATCATATGCTTTAAGCCTTTAAAGATTTCTGCGATTAAATTCTTCTATCGGGCCAGCATGATTTTATCAGAACTGTATTAATATTCAGTTTCTCCTGCAATTTACTGAAAACGTTGCAACAGGCATCGTAACGAATATCTAATGAATGCCGCATTGATATATATATATATATATCACATTAATACGTATTTATTTTATATCAACAAGACATTGATGATATAAAATAAATACGTATTAATGTGATATCAATGATACTAGATATAATATCAGACGTCTTTAATAATGTTTATACAGAGTTGCTAATTAAAATAGAATATATAAATACTATTTATTTTCCCATCAATTTAACAAGTCGTTTTATCTCTGTAGATATGTTACCTCTCGACAACTGCTTTTTTGAGAAAATTCGTACTAAAGAACAACCCTGTTTTCATATTCAATTATCGAGAAATATCGATTCGAATATGTAATTTCGGTTAGGTAGCATGCTCGTACACACGCATTTACGACCTTCATTAATGTCGCGTGTGAAAAATCGCGGCTTTCGCGGGATAATTACTTACGACACCCGATGCGATGTGTCATTAAGTATGGAGACGGATTAATGCGGGTCAATTTAAAACATGATTGCAGTTTGAACCGAGTACCACCTGGTTGTTTATGGCAACACATTTTGAAAAATCGAGGTTAATCGCGCACGTTTAGTAATTACATTCCGATGCGTGGTTTCGCATGCATCAAAATCTTATGCATCTCGAGCGGGCACCTTTTAATTCGCAATTACAATCGATCGAGTCGATACCTATTGCCGCATCCTTAATTTATATAAATATGAAAGTTATTAATCATCCGTCTTACGCCAATCACGTTACAAGGATTGTTTGTCGAATTTGTTACGCGCTTCATCAAAGATGAGAACGACGATATAAAAAAACGCTATATAATTATTGTACAAAAAATATGTGGACGAGAGATTAATATATCCTCGACGGATGTAAACAGATTAGCATACGTGACGATTCAAATTATGTATTTCATAAGTGGAAATCGAAGATAGAATCTACATAAAATTACTTAGATTCCATAACTAATCATGTGCTTTTTACAAAGATATTAATATGGTATGAAAAAAATATAAAGCAGATAAAATGTCATTAGAAAATCATGGTTTTAAGATTTAAAGAATTTTTTTGTATAAATATGAAATTTCTTTTATATATCAAGCTAAAAGAGACGATCGATGTTGTTCCATTTGCGACTGTCGAAAGACCTTGGTTTCAGATTTTTGAAAACAGTAAATAGTGCACCTGGCAACTTGCGCGCAAAAGAAAAAATGAAAATTTTATGCTCCAATTGCGTCTTTGTTTTATACAAAACTCTTGCAGAGTGGCAGTTATACGCTGTAACAAACGTTACCGTCGCGTTGGCTACAAAAATCTCGCGCCGTTCGAATGCAGTAAGCCGTAAAAGTAATTGATCCTTTGGCGAGGATAATGGCACCTCATTCTCCATTCCCTCCTCCTTTCCTTCGACAATGACCGAGAGTACGGTCAACGAGATAATAAAGTTATCATATCCTCGAAAAAATATTTTATACCACTGCTTGTGCAAATTTGACAAGCAGATACAATAAAATATGCGATATGACAAGAATATGACAAAGACATTTTTAACGTCACTTTAACTCAAGATTACAATTTGCATATTCCAACAAACGAATAATAACGAGATTCCACACAATATTTATAGTCTTATGATAATTCCGACGGGCGCAAAAAGCGGAAGCAGGTTTTACTTGATGTATACATCGACTACGTGGATTATGACACGTGGACGAAACATTTTAGAATTGATATGTATACAAGGTATCCCAAAATTCGCGAATCAACATACCACAGTAAGAAAATTTTCAAAAAATTAAATAAAAAAATTATTTGTAAATTTTTATTTTAAGAAATAGTTTGTGAAATAATAAATATTTAAATATGACCAATTACGGACTACGTTTAAACGCTGAAGTGTTTACTAATGTGTCATGCAATATGCGGAGTAAGTCGTAAGCTATAAGAAATTGACTTATCATAGTCGAATGTGAGGAAAATAATCGACTATAATTGATCAATTTCTTGCGAATTACTCTGTAAATTGTAGACAACGCATAATACCGATTGCCGCACGCGCAATTCATGAACAGGTGGTCGTCTAAACGTAACCTATAATGATTATATTTAAAGTGTTAATTATAAAAAGTATTAATTAAAACAGTTATTATTATAGAAATATATAATACAACACGTGTTATACATCATATATCATTCGTGTTCTTAGACATCCTTTTTAAGTCGTAAATTAATATCCTATCCAGCTCCATATGTTTTATTAACTCATTTCAAGATTAATTCCGATGCTGTCCCGTTTTGGAAATAATCACGATTGAACGGTTCAACTCACACGACTCATCTCAAAGCATTCCAGGCAAACGAATTAGGAAAGATCACATGAGCGGATAACTGCGTTCGCTTTCATTAAGGCGAAGCGACACGCGTCCGTCCAAGAGACTCAATAAAAATCGATCAAGCCGTTCTCGGTTAAGGAAAAGAAGACGGTGAATAGGGAAGAAGTGAGGCGGGACGGGGGCGCAGAAAGATCGTACATACGTTCTTCCTATAATCTGACACTTTAACGAGCGTGGCGGCGGGAAAGACGGTGGCGTCTCTAGGCGCGTCACCGCCACGTGGACAGCCCGCGTCCGACGGACGAAACTTTCTCGGTCCGTGGCCTGCTCCCGGGCAACACGACTTCTCCTTCTCGGGGGACCCCGGGTTTCTCGTGGGAACTTGAGACAGATGCGTCGCGCGTGAGAATCTCGGGCAGATGCGGACTTACGCACCTTCTCTCTCGAGTGCGCCACGCACTGCCTCGTATTTATAAGACGTACACGTACCGCGCGTAGAGTATAGGTAAGTGTATACGTGTAGGACATGCCGAAGCGGTATTATACGCCCGACCATAACCCGCTTACGGCTCTCGTCTCTTCTCTTCCATCCCGTCTTCTCCGCGCGACGACGTCCTTCTCTTTCTCTCTTCGACACGCGCGCGATCGACCCGCGACTCCGCTTCTCTTTCTATTTAGCTCTCGGTGCGTCGTGATTGTAATAGAGGTGCCGCATCGGATCGCCGGTCGTGTGTACGGAACGTGTGCGGAACGTGGCTCTCCTTCTCGCGCTGCCCTTTTTTTCCTTGCCGCATTTCCTCCACACGATTCTAGTGGGACGCGGTCGGTACACTGAAAAAAGATTGGCTGCTGCAAATTAGATGGTAAAATATGGCATAGCA